AGGGCCAGATGGTCGGGGTGTGGGGGAGAGGAGGTTGGATGCTGCATTGGTGTTGGGGGGCGGTCGAGGAGTGGGGGGCACTTACCAGGACATCCAGCTGCTTCTGTTCACCCACGAGGGCGTCTGTGGAATAGAGACACCCCCGCAGTGAGGGGCTGGGCCCAGATCAGGGTCCCAGGCCCATCCCCCCCATCCCCCCATCTCAGTGCTTCGCAGAGTGGCCCGCCTGCCCCCCAGCACACTGGGTGGGGCAGGGTCACTAGCCCCATTGTGCAGCAGGGGAAACCGAGGCAAAAAAGCGGGGCAAGGCACCCCCAAAGGCACACAGTGAGTCAGGGCTGCACCCCACATCAGCATGCCCCCACACAGGACACGGCACCTGCCAGGGGACACCCACCCCTCCCCCCTGCTCCATGGCTGCCCCCTCATGTGTGACTTACAGACAGTGGCTGCAGCCTCGGACTCCCTACGGGGAGAAAGAGAGAGAGATAGTAACAGAACTCAGGAGTCCTGGCTCCCAGCCCCCCTGATCTAACCATTAGATCCCACTCGCCTCCCAACCCAGGGAGAGAACCCAGGAGTCCTGTGTCCTGGGGCAAGTAGATCGGGGGTGGGGAGCGGAGCTGGGGTCTCACCTGCTCTGTCTCGGGGCTGGTCCTTTCCCTGCAGAGACATGAAGCAGAATCATCCATGAGCCGACCCAGATCCCCGTGTACCAGCCCTGCCCCTCAGCTTATAGGGCAGCTGGGATGGGGGCCCAGGACAGAATCTCCCCACCCCCGCTCTGCCAGGGGGAACCCTGAGCCCTCCAGCTGCTGAACATGAATATCCTAGAGACAGGTCCCCACCCCCAGCAGCACAGCGCCCACTGCTGAGACCCGAACCACAGGGTCCCCTCATGCAGCCCATTAGCTCTGGGGCCAGCCCTGACTGCCAGGGGAGAGCGCCCCCTGCTGGGCCTCCTGCCCCACCCCCTGGGTTTCCTTCCCTGTCTCCCATCCAAGCCATGAACCCTTCCCAGCCCGGCTTAGCAGCGGGTTTAACCCTTCCCTCGCTGGGCGGGGCACTCACTTCCTCGGGTTCTTCTGTAGCAGACGAAGGCCAGAAGGAGGAGGAGGAGGCCGGCGGCTGCCGCGCTCACCCCGGCGATGATGGTGCAGGTCAGAACCGGTGCTGCACTTGGTACCGATCCCCCTGGGAAGCAGCACCAGGCATGAGCACCGTGAGCGGCTGGTTCGTTACCTGCTGCCCCAGCCCCACCCCCTCGAGGACCCAGGGACCCACAGCAGAACATTCTATAGGGCTAATGGGGGGTCAGGAGCAGAGGGGATTCTGGGTAATAGTGGTCAGGGGGTTCACTCCCAATGGCAGAGGGCTGTACTGGGATGGGGGCAGGGTGTGGGGGGGGTGTACCTCAGGCCCCATGCCTGTGAAGCCAGCTGGGCCCGGATCCTGCAGCACCCCCACCCTCGGGTCCTGCCCCTGTCCTGGGAATTTCTCAGCAGCTTCATCTCACTTCTGTGTAGGAATCATATGGGTGGGGGGATGGCAATGGGAGGGGACTTCTGACCGGGGAGGGCCCTTTGAGATAATTGAGAGAACCATGCCCTGCTGAAGTGATAAGCAGTGGAAGACGTAACGGTGCTGTCATCACAACAGTCATCATTAGGTTCCAGAATCAACATCAACAATGTGTCTCTGTGAATCTGTGGGTTCAAGTGTTAACACCATCTCTGTCTGGATTGATAGGTTCTAGGGTAAATGCCCCCCTGGGCAGCACTCCAGCGAAGGGGGAGCCCTGTTTCTGAGCCATTCGCCCGGGCTGTCTGCAGACTCAGGCAGAGAGACAGGATACACAGGGACGTTATGCCCAGCTCTCCGGCCCTGGCACCGTTCTCCCAGGGAGATACACACCGAGCTGTACCCCACACGGGAGGCTTTGTGGTTCCCTTTGTGGGGCTGTGCGTTGTGGGGAAGATCTCCGAGGTGCTGCCCCCACAAAGCCAATCTGGCATCTGTCCATGTGTGTGAAATGAAATGAGTGTGTGGGGATGTTTCAGGTGGGGCATTCGCTGTGGGGATCTGCCCCTATTACACCCAGCCCTTAGTGGCTCTCCCCGGAGCTGGCTCCTTGGGCAGCACAAAATTGTTTCTGGGAGAGTTAATGCCAATTTCCTGCCCCAGTACCTGGCCCCGCGCTGCCTGAGTGGGTGGGAGTCGGCGTCGTTCCTGGCTCAGTTCCTCCTGCGGGAATAGAACCAGTGTCTGTCAGCGGCAGGGCGGGGAGCTGAGAAAGCTGGAGCCCTGGTGTCTGTGGTTAGTTATACAGGGAACGTCTCCTCCCCCCAACTGCCAATGGCGGCTCTTTCCCGGGCTGAGCCGGCGTCCCTGGGGAGAGGACGGGACCCAGGGATTCGGGCCGGCTCAGCGCCCCGGGATCCCAGAATGGGGAGGATCGGCCCAGCGAGACCCTGAACTCAGATACAGCCCCTGCCTGGCTCCACGGAAACCGGAACCAAAATCATTACTGACTCGTATTAATTACCAGGAGCCCCTGTCGTGGGCCAGCTCCCCCGTGTGCTCGGAGCTGTACAGACACACGACACAGAGACGGTCCCTGCCCCAGCCAGGTGCCATTCACACCTGGAGTCACTGCAGAGCAGGTCTGGGTGTGGCTGTCCCTATTTCGGGGGAGGAACGTCCCTGTGTCTATAGAGCTACAGGGGAGCTTGTCTGCCAACCGGGGCTGTATCACACCAGGGGGCGCTAATTCCGACAGCCCAGACTCGCTCTGAGATCACCAGCGGGGGTTGGAAACCACACGGGATTCGTCATTTCGGGTCCAGTTTACTCGTAGACAAGGTCTTAGTCCATCTTTCTATCACTAACCAGATGTGCTCCCATCTGTCCAATGCCTTATGTTCCCAAGGAGCCATATTCCCACGGACTCGTGGCCATCTGTCCCCATGGATCTATTCATCACCCTCTAAGAATTGAACCCATCAGTTCTGTGTGCAGGGACCATCCCCCTCCAAACGGCCGGAATGGCCCCGTGGGCGTCTGAGCGGGGAGCCCTGTTCCCTGGGGGATGAATTGTTCCATTTCTCCCACTCACCTTCTCCCTCTGGCTCCGTCGTGGGGGGATCCGGCTGCTGGGTTCCAGCTGGGTTGGTTCCCTCTGTGGGATGAAAACAAGCGTCTGCTGGGATGGAGGAGGGAGGGAACCGAGCACCCAGCCATCAGCCCTGAAACTCCAGCGGCTGCTGCTGCCCCCTGTCTGGGAATCCCCCAGTGACTCCGTCCCCACTCTGTACCCCCATCTGGGCCTCCCTGGCTCTGAGCGTCCCAAAGGGGCCAAGACCTCCTGAGGATCCAGCTCGGTGTGGGGCTGGGAGCGGTGACATGGAGTTGGGACCTTCACCTGATACCACCAGTTCCACGAGGTCACTGGGCTCCGACCAGACTACCATTGGCTGAATTCAACCCATTTCATGGGCAACATTCCTGGAGCACCAGGATCTGGCGTTAGAA